CGGCTCGCAGGGAAGGCGCAAGCCCAGCGTCCCAGGTGCAGGAGATGCCAGGTTCTGAGACGTCTGGTTGAAAATGGGGGAAGCCCTTAGCGGGGTCTGGACGTCCTTGCAGTCGACCTTTATAGGCTGGGCACTGAACCCCCACCTTGTGGGGTGTCGCCCAGCCCTGCACCTGCCAGGGGCTCACTGAGGCCCAGCACGCAAAGCTCTCAGCAGCATGTGTTTCTATGCAACGGACAAGGCATGCTGTTTCAAATGGAAACGGAAACAATCACCTTGCCTGTTACAGAAGTAACACTACCGCAGTGGGTATCTCTTTGCATTTTATGTTTTGAGGTAATTCCCGTGCAGCAAAACAATTCCACGGCACAGCTAACGGCTGGAACCTGTTTCGTTCTCGCCCCTCCCTTTCTTGTCACTTCTCACGGCGCAAGGTGAGAAGCACCCACCTGCTTCGCCTCCAGCCTGCCTCTCTCCCCGGACAGAGCTTTGACTCCCCGGCTGTCAGCCGCTCTGCCTTCACAGGTGGTAAATTACTTCAGAAAGAATTATTCCCTTTCCTCTCGCAAGAACAAGACACAGGCAAATGTTAACTCACACTTGAACGATATAAATTGAAAAGCATAAATATATGACCCTGTTTCCACAAATGGCACGAATTATTGATGGCCGGTGTGATCTAGAAGCCTGCAATCAGGTTTCTGACAGATAGCTCTTGCTTGGGGAACATCACACATGTCGGAGGGGTGAGTTACCGCTTTTCGTCCTCCACTTGCACGCCAACAGAGTGGTATTCCCGCAGGCCTCGGCTCTCTGTGTCAGAATCTGTAGCTGTTTCCACCTAATTCAACACAGAACATCTCATTTTAGCACTGAGACGTGGGGCCTGGGCAACGGACTATTTTTTTGTTGTTCATTTTCTGTGATTAATTATGCATTTGTTTAATTAATGCAGAGATGCACTTGACCCAGTAGAATCACAAGGAGGGAAACGCGTTCATCTCGGTGTAATTACATCGCTACCTCGGCTCACCGTGTTTTACGTGACTACTTGAACTCCGTGCTGCACTTTGGTCTTTTAAATGTATGCAAATAAAACTGCGTAGTTCAGCTCGGGCAAAAAATAGGCTTTGTTCGATGCATTATTACAGGACCCAAAAGCTCTTATCATACCCTACAGTGAGGAGAGTAAGTACAGAGCGAACCAAACATAGCTTCCGACAACACATAAGCAATTTGATAGAATTATACTGACGGCTACATCCACGTACAAAAAGACACAGAAAGGAATTTAAGCATTTATCAGAAACACCGAGGCAAACTCTCCGCCTGTCTCTGCACAGAGCTGTGCTGCATGTGCTAAGAGGGCGGTGTCAGATCAGAACAGGAACCACGTGTCCTACAGAGAATCCTCATTTGCCAAGAAGTCTCCGCAAACCCACGGAGCATTTTAGTGGCCGTCAGCCGGGTAAACTTGCCACGCAAGGCAGTTCTCGTACGGTGCGTTTTCTATTTAAAACTCCACCCAAGACAGTACGAAAAGTCTGTGAAACCAAAGGTTAGTTAAGCCATAAATATGATTCCAGGTACTGAACCATCCCTTCTTTCACAAAAATATTGGCTATTGCATCAAAAGGACTTCTGGCTCCCGTCTGAAATGTCATAGCTAAGTCGTAAAATACACCTTTTCTTAAAAATACTGCTGATCGCGCCAAGGATGAGGCGCGGAGCGCTGAGCGAACAGTGAGGACACTGTCTTCTGGGGGCTGCGGTCTGTGGCTGTGCAGAGGCCGAGCCTGCGCGCCAGGCCGACTCACAGCTGCCGCTGGGGGAAGCGGAGGTGCGCGCGGCTAACGCTCACTCTGCAGGACCGTAAAGCCAAAGTGTCGCTAGCTTCATCGCGTGTAACCCACACAACAACCCTGCTGGCGTGTCTAGACACATTGAACAGCTGGGGAACCAGAGAAGGTGAGTAACTTGCTCAGGGCCGCCCAGCCTGCTGGGGGCAGAGCCAGGACTCTCGCCTGGACCTCTCTGATGTGGAGCTGAGCGCAGCGGAAGAAAGACGCCACGTGAAGGCCCTGGTGCTCTCGGTCGGCTACGGAGCCATGGGAACGGTTAGAGACATCCCACCTTTTATTGGAATAATTCTGAAGACGTGTGTGGATGCTGCACTTGATTTGTGTCGTGTGTCTTGACAGCTGGAAGAAGAGACAGACGGACCATGGGAGGAAGGACAATCTTGAATGAAAATCGCAACCTGCCTGTCGGGACCCACCATTCCTTTTTCTAGTTTTGAGTGTGTCATGGCTTTATGAGAGTTTACCTTTTTTGGGTATGAAGATTATTATTTTGCACAAAAGGATCAAAATAAAAATTAATGTATTTAAAATTCTACGTCAGTACATGTGCAGCTGCCTTCTGTTTTAACTGCACGCGGTTCCATGTTATGAATGTGTCCTAATGTATTCAATCAGCCTTCAGTGGAGGGATGCATTGGTTATTTCTAGTTTCTGCCATTGTAAATAAGGCTGCTGTGAACACACGTCTCTACTTGCGTGTACGCGTGAACTTCTGTGAATGTACGCACATGACGTGGTTTGTGGGTCAAAGGCATTGCATTTTACAATTTTGGTAGATATTGCCAAATTCGACAGAGGTATGATATGGGTGAAAGCAATTCACGTGTATACTTTTAAAGAGATTTTGTAATGAAAAGAGCGCTGATTTTTACCACAAAAATGTTGAGGACATTTGCGTCACTCATTCTCCTTGTGGGGATCTAGCCTGCAGACGTGATCTTAAATTCTGACAAGTGCTGCGGTGTTCACCCTGCAGCATTTA